CCGTAGTGGTGCGCGGTGCGGCTGGTGCACGATGCGGGGCGTGGCATAGCAGGAACGGAAGCTTAGCGTGCGCTGGTGCGAGCCAGGCCAGACTCAGCGGCATCCCACCTTCGTCGCCACTGTTATGTAGTGGGCTGCCGCATGGATAAACGACCGACACGATGTGGTGCATGGCACGCTTTATTTGGTACACAACAAGAACAAGGAACAAATGGCCGGCAGGCCAACTATATACATACCTGGGGACACACCCCTGGTCACCATTGGTGGGTTTGAATCTCCCATGGTTCCCATTGGTTCCCCAGTGGAGGGACTAGGAGCCTAGTCCCTATTGTTCTACCAGAGCCAAGCTCTGGCTGTTCGCTGGCCCCCGGTGGTGGTCAGCATACACTACAGTTGGGCTCTCTAGTGCACCCGAAAATCCCGCAAGGGGAAAAATAGATGGTCAAGTCCAGGTCATCTGTTTCGTCTGCACTAAACATCACAGACGCATGCTTGGCCTCTCGTAGACCAAGAGCGCCGCCAATACCCCCAACTAGGGCACAACAGCTCCAGCGAAGCTGAGAAGCGCAAAAGTCCAGGAAAGGAGGAAACCAAGACCGAGGGGTCAAGGGCCCCCTGCAAGGGGGGGGGAGGAGCGGATACGGAGAATACTCGGAAAAGGGTCGGGAAATCGGGGGAGGTCAGCGACCTTCCTTCCGAGCCTCCCAGTTCACGCACTGTCTATCCTCTACATCTAAGTCTTGCCGTTTCTGTAGCAACTCGCGCACATTCGTGAAACTCCTCTCTCCATGGCAACTGCTACACCTTTTCCAATAGCCCTTTACGAGCTCCGCCCTTCCCGCTTATTGGCCACTCGCCTGTTGTCAGCGCACATGTGGACCTTTCTTCTCTCGACACAACATGAACCACGCGCCGAATCCGCGCGCTTTTATTGGTCAAAATACCTGTCGTTCCTTTCCTTCGACCGCCCCGCTGTCGAAGGAAAGCCAATGGCTCGAGTCGTTTCCGAGCAAGGCTTTTCCGGGTTGATGCCGGTGGGGGGCAAGGCTGGAGGGCGGCCACGGGGCTCGGCGCTCCTTGGCTGGGCTTTTCCGTTGATGTTGCTCCTCGCTTTGTGATTGGCCTGAAACCGGGGGGGGGGAGAAGATCGTGGGGTGCTCTTAAAGGGGCCGCAGCCTTTGCTCGCTTGCCTCGCCATCTCTCCCCACCATGGCCTATCAGGGTTTCACTGCAGAATATTTGGGGATCCCCGCCGTGACGCGCGCCTACACCACTGCCTGCGTCATCACCACCGCTGCCGTGGTAACGGGGAGATTGATGGAAACCGGGGAGGTGGGGTGAGGGGGGCGCTTCCTTACCTGCGGGCGCGTGAGGTGGCGGAACTGCCGCCGCCGCTGTTCCCTGTCAAAGGGGTTTTGTTGCCGGGAGGGGGTCGCTGGGCCAAACTCGGGCTCTGCCTGGCACAACAGACCCGGGGCACACCTATGGCGGGGGACCTCAGGTGTAAGGAAGGCAGTGGCTGCCTTGGCCCGTGGCCGGCTAAAGGTCCCTCTCCATCTCTCGTTGCTTGCAGCAACTGGATCTCCTCACGCCTTTCCAGCTGTACTTCAACCCGGATCTAATTTTCAGAAAGCTGCAGGTGAGACCTTCCCCGCTTTTCATGCCTTGCTCTCGCCCAGGCAGTTTACACTCTCCCTGGGCATGAGATGGGTTGACTCGGTAAAGGAAGCCACGACCTTCCGTTTGCAAGACCTGAGCGCTGATGTTAATGATAGGGTTACCATGATCCATTAGATGGAAGCAACTTGACAGTACATAACACACACACACACAGGCAAAATGAGCTCTGGAGGGGACGGGATGAGCTGGACAGGTAGGGACTACTGTGCATGGCCTCTTGTTTCTTTGCAGATCTGGAGGCTCCTCACCAACTTCCTGTTTTTTGGGCCCTTGGGATTCAGCTTCTTCTTCAACATGATATTCCTGTATCCTTTGTGCCTGGCTGCTCTCATTTCCCCTGTTCCACATGAATTTGTCTCCTGATCCATCCACCCAGTCTTGAGATCAGTGCTGGGCTGCCTTGTGTCTCTGCATTCTAGGGCTCAGGCAAACTTCCATATCTACAAAGGCAAGCTGCTAAATAGAAAAACTGGCAGGTTCAATAACTGCATCCGTCATTTAGTTTGTTGCAACAAACCACCTGAAAGGCTGACATTGTTATTGCAGTTAGGCTTGAGTTTAAGTGACAGTAAAGATGCTAGGCTTTAAGGTGCAGCAGGGCTTTTCCTTCGGTTTAGCAGCTGACACAGACATGAAACTTGTGATAAGGTACCAGAAAGTCAAGACTCAGGCCTTGTTTACTGCAGAGAGGTTGGAAGGTGGCAAATAAAGCTTTGCTTCCTTCCCCCTATTTTATTAAGACCTTTATTTTCTCCCTGAACTCTGCCTGGCACAACAGACCCTGCTGCTGTTCTCCGATGTTCACAGAAAGCCCACAACAAAATATAACACCCACACCCCCTGCTTTGTATGTTTTCCTGCAGAGGCACAGATTAAGGAACTGCATAGCTGCTTGTCAACACATCCCTGTGTTTGGAGATATAACTACTTTAGTCTTTGAGCATACCAGTTCAAACACTGTTGCAACCATGGCTGCTGCTTGAAGCAACTGAACTCAAAGCAGTGTTTGGTATTCTACAGAGACTAAACTATTTTGGCATACACTGATAAATGGAGAGATATGAAGGGGAAAAAGAGAAACAGAGGGGGCAGAAGATGCACAGTAGCATGAATAACTGACAGCAACCCAGAGTTTAATTATATATGTTTTGAACTGTGAGATGTCTTGGGTGCCCTTGTGAGGGCAGAAAGGCAGGATACAAATTTTGTAAATAAATAATATGTGGCCAAAATGAAACTGCAGATCTCTTCATACAAACCACAATATTATATTAGGATCTGTAGTGTTTTGTAAAGTATCCAGTATAGACCCAGCTGTAAAATGCCTATAGAGTACTTGTAATTGCAAAACAAGTGCAAACACTCAGTGCCTGGGAAGCTAACCAGATGCTTCCCATTTGAGCCAAGTAAGTTAGTTGCAGAACATTTATCCCAAGGATGACTGCCCTCCAACTGCTGAAAGAAATATGGACTAGTCAGCCTATTGTCAATCAGTAGCAGCAGACCTAAGACCTTTTGATTCTGAGCCATCTTCCTTGCCGCTTGCACCCTGTGGAACATATCTGTCACTATCTAGAAGCTTCACCTTGCACTCCCACTATGTCTTCACAGTTGCAACAGGCAGTACTCTGCTCTTGAGGCAAGACTTTGCTGAGTGGGGTTGGTTCAGCCACCCATCAGGCTGTTTTCTGCACATTTCTTGTGTTCACTGGAACACAAGAACAATTTTGCTGTCCTGTTCACTAAATCATCCCCCTTTTAGCTTCCTTTACTGCCTCCTCCTCCTCCCTTGCTCCCTGCTTACAGGTACAGATACTGCCGCATGTTGGAAGAAGGCTCTTTCCGTGGAAGGACAGCAGACTTCATCTTCATGTTCCTTTTTGGAGGGTTTCTCATGACAGTATCCTTTCTGGTTGCACTATTGTGTATGCTTTGCATGGAGAAGAGTAGGGTTGCTGTCACCTAAGCCCCTCTGCACTGCTTTCATGGTTGGTGGAAAGGAAGGCATTCCCCTGAAGCATTTCCAGCATTCACACTCTTAGCATAACAGGGGGTAGGAACCCAATGCTACAGCAAGTGAAAGATGAAATTTCTTATCAGCTGAAATGGTTTGATATTAGAAGGCACTAGGTATAGAGATTGCCAAGCTGACCAAACTGTAAAATCTGATTGTTATTACTCGCTCAACAATTTTTAATGTGCAAAGAGGATTCTTCAGAGGATCACTTTACAAACAAGTACTCTGGAGGAAATGTCTTTACATTGCAGTCTTATGACCATGCAGCTATGAGGATAACATTTTCTCTAAATTAAAAATAGCTTTTAAAGTAACAGTACTAAAACTTGCTGTATGGTATTTGACTACCTTAATGAATTACCCTCTTGCTCTCATCATTTATACAGTCCTGGTAAGGTAACCCAGTCAGTGTTTCCTTAGCCTTAGAATTTAACCTGGCTTCTTTCTCTAGCAGATGTCTGTAATTTTGGCTCTGTTCACTGTTTGAAATAGAGCTTGAGCAGGTACACCCTGCACAGTGTATTCAAATTGTGTCTAAAAACATGCTGTGCTCCTTTTAACCAAACACCCCTCCCTGCCTTTAGTGGCTTCCCATTGGAGCCACCAGTTCATTTTACTCTTCTCAAGGCAGTAAAATCATGATGATGTTCCTTAAGGCAATATATATCCCCTTCAAGAAAGCTTGAAGGCACTTCAGGCTTTTGTAAAGCAGATATAAGATTTTCCCTTCACTCTGTAGCTCACAGCTTTTTGGTCTCTTTGCTGGCCTCTTCTTCCTAGGCCAGGCATTCACCATCATGCTGGTGTATGTATGGAGTCGGAGGAACCCTTACATCCGGATGAACTTCTTTGGCCTGCTGAACTTCCAGGCCCCATTCCTGCCATGGGTTTTGATGGGCTTCTCACTACTGCTGGGCAACTCCATTCTCATTGACCTCCTAGGTAAGAGGGACCATGCTACAAAGGCAGGGGCAGTTAAATCGTTCCTTTGGCACAGAAACACAGATTTACCTACCCATTTAAACACAGGTGTGAGAGGAAGAAAGTTACTGAGCAAGTTTGAGCTTTCAGTCTGCAGTAGCGACTGTCTGCAGCCATCTGGGAGGGGGCAGAGTAAACTCTGGCTCCTGTTTATCACTGGGGGAGCTGCTTGGCTGCAGATTCACGTATGAAAGATGGAAGCACTGATCCTTATTCTTGGGCAGAACGGTTCAGACACCTATATAAGCAACACTACAAAACTAAGAGATGTTAAATAGTCATTTTGGGTCTACAGAAAAACATTAAATACAAAAGTAATTGAGCTCTTCAGAAGTCTTTCTCATGCTGTATGTTCAGTAAGACAACAAAAGGGGTGGTGGTGGTGAAGGAAGTCCCTGCCTCCAATCAGTAGTAAGTCTAGTGAGAGTTGGGGTGTTTGGCTGGGGATAGAACACCCTGCAGGGGATAGAACATATCCATTAAAACATTGCTATTAGTTAAACTGGCTCGTTTAGTAAAGCTGCTTTGAACAGAGAGGGGCATCCATAGGGCTTTCTCGTTTCTACAGGAATTGCTGTGGGTCATGTCTATTACTTCCTTGAAGATGTCTTCCCCAACCAGCCTGGAGGAAAGAAGTTACTACTTACACCAGGATTCCTGTAAGTCCTTCTTTGGTTCAGAGCAAAGAGCTTCATTTAGGAGCCTTTGAGGATTAACACTCAAGCTGTACCCAGCCTGGATGAAGAGTGACTGCCCCCATGAAAGGGCAAGCATGTCCTAAGAAGTCAGTACTATGACTTAGACAGATATAACTTCTTTCCCTGGGGTGCATTGATGGGGCAAGAAACTGGGTTGGAAGTGATCCATTGGAGTCAGGAAAGTGAACATGAAGTGGGGGTGTAATAGCTGAGGAGGGCAAAAAAATCAGGGCTGATTCACAAATTACATTTTTAAATGCATATTATATGTAGTGGATGGACATACATTTGGTGACAGAAGTTGGTTGGGGAGGCACCCTGCTAGTTTTCACTGTTGCATTTATTTTGTGTTGGGGCGGGCCTCTTCTGTCACAGGAAGCTTGTGTTCGACCCTCCAGAGGAGGATCCTAACTACAATCCCCTCCCTGAGGAGAATCCTAACTTTAACCCTCCCCCCGAGGAGGCTCCTGCACCTGCTCAAGAAGACCAAAACCAGCCACAGCTACCATAGCAGTTAAGGCACAGTGATAACCCCTGCCTTATATGGTGTTGAACCAGATACAGATTGCCATTTCAGCAGTGCTGATTTGTATTCTCGTGCCACTCTTCCTCCCTTCAACTGGCAAGCTGTGCTGCAGCTCAGGAGATGGAAGGAGAACTCCATAGAAGTGTTGAATGTTGCAAAGGACTGGAAGATGCATTTGCTGAACTCCCTGGGAAGTTACAGGCAGAAGACTCTACAGACTGAGCATCTGGAATCAGGTGGTTCAGCATCTTGAGCACCCTCAACTTCCACATTAAACAAGAGACTTCACCCTTATATGGTGGCTTTAAAAACATTGTATAGAGAGCTGCTGCCTTTTCAGTTGTCACTGTGCTTTCCATGTGCCAAGACGCATGGAATGAGGGTCTGCCGCAGAATTCAGTTTAGCTTTCTTTTTCCTCCAGCTTTCTGGGCCTCAGGTGGCTAAGAAGTTTTGCACAGGCAGAAGCTACTGAAATCCTCAATCCAGGCCTGGCTCCCTGTTTTCCTACATCCCTTGCCTACTCCTCCAGGCTCTGTGTTTTTTTTTAAAATGGGTAGCAAGTGTGTTTTATATTCCTTCACAATTACAACAGGCAAAACCTCCTGGTATGGTTAATGAGCCACTCATTCCTAATTTGCAGAAGGTGGCAACAGGCATCAAGATAACTAGAATGAATCGGAAATCAAATTGACCAGCTCAGGAGAAGGGAAAAACACTGTCTGTGGTTCGGTTACATTTCTGCTTCTCTTTGTGGCCCATACCCATAACATTTGGTGTGAGTTAATGTAACACACCTGTAACCTTGACTCTATCCACCAAATGCTGACTAAGAGAGAAGATTCCCATTTCCTTGTTATGTAATCTTAAATGTGAAATGAAGTGAGTGCAAAAATATGTCAGAAGACATCTGGCCAGTACAAGTGCAACCCTTCTTTCTGTTTCTCCTTTCTTCCACAATCATCTGAACTACTTAACAGACCCAATAAATGCAATCAGACTTATGAACAATGGTCATGTTTAATTTGCATTTATTCTTCTTGTCTTATGCCACAAGAAAGGCCTGTGTTTAGGACACAACACACACAGCCCGACCTTCGCTAGATAAATCATGTAGAGAGAATGCTTGGCCCAAGGTTACCTAGTGGGCTTTGTGGCACAGTATGAATTTTGACTTGGGGCTCCTACCCTAACCACACGTTACTTGGTCCTGAGAGGTGGCAACTTCCTTAAGCCACCTGAAGGCTGCCTAATAAATTTGGGCTGAGCTGACACCAATATACAGATGATACGCAGCTCTATCTCGAGCTACCAGCAGATCCCAGGGAGGCTGTGGAAACCATGAATGGGTACTTTGAGGCAGTTTTGGAATGGATGAGAGGTCACAAGCTGAAATTTAATCTTGACAAAGGTGCTATTGGTGGTGGGGAGTAGGGGTGATTGATTCTTGGGAATATCAGGAAATAATGATATTTTTTGGGTTCAATATACCCAAACCCGAAAAATACTGGGTTTTTTTTGTACATGCCTAGTGGGGAGGTCTGACCTGGGAAATGGGTTATCTCATTCTGGATGAGGTTGCACTCTGCTAAAGGAGCAGGTTTATCATTTTGGGGTGTTCCTGGACTGAGGCCTCCTGTTGGATAAACAGGTGGCAGCAGTGCCTTTTACAAGCCTTGGCTAACGAGCCAGCTGTGGCCCTTCCTGGACAGAAAAGATCTTGACATTGTAGTACATGCTGTGATAACATCTATATTAGATTACTGCAATGCACTGTATGTAGGACTTGCCCTTGAAGACTGTCTGGAAGCTACAGTTGGTACAGAATGCTGTTGCCAGAGTACTGACTAAAGTGGGTTGTAGGGATCATATCACTCATCTTGTTCTACCTATACTGTCTTCCAATTTGCTTTCAGGCTCAATTCAAGGTGTTGGTATTGACCTTTATAGCTCTGTATAGCTGGGACCAACATAACTTAAGGATCGCTTTCCCACATGAACTTACTCATTCACTCTGGTCATCCTCAGAGTCCTGCTTTGGTTGCCCCCACCACACCATATGAGGCTAGATGGACAGCAACCCAAAAAAGGGCACTCTCCGTTATGGCACCAAAATGTTGGAATTCCTTCCCTAGGGATATTCGTGTCTCCCTCCATCAGTGTCTTCCACCAGCAGGTGAAGACCTTTTTGTTTCATCTGGCATATCACTAGTAACAGTTTTTGGCCCTCATTCTAATACTGTTTGTGTTTTCAACTAGTTTTTAATTTTTTAACTATTTTTATTGTTTCAGTGTTCACCACCTTGTGCAGCCTGATTGGGTGGAATGGCAGTATAAAAATGTTCTAAACAGAAATAAATAGAAATAGGGCCGGGCTGTTTTCCACCTTTAAACTCAGTGCTGAAGCTGCTTGCACAGACCTGTGATTCTGGTTGCAAAACAGGGGGAAATGTTATGGGTGTGAACATGTGTCGAACACTAGACGTCCCTGCTAGTGTGGTGTAGTGGTTAAGAGCAACGGACTCAAATCTGGAGAACTGGGTTTGATTCTGCACTCCCCCACATGAAGCCAGCTGGGTGACCTTGGGTCAGTCACAGTTCTTTCAGAGCTCTCTCAGCCGCCAAGATAAGTCTCGCTCACCACCTAGTGGTGCATAATGCTAAAACAGCTAGAACTTTACACTACTAGACAATCTTAGGATCTCCTGGCTATACTACACACAATGCCGAACAATTGTCCCTGCCAGCCAGGAGTACAAGGAGGACACAAGCACCAGCAGGCACCCACTTTGATAACCAAGGTGAAAACAACTTCTGAGTTCGACTCAAGCGCTACTACAGTGGCTTTTCCCAACATTACTCTCTATTCTTCTGCCGTTGCAATATTGCAATATTCTCACCATGGGCTACTGTTCTCCTAGAATTGCCTGCAAGCCTGTCCATTGGCAACTAGAGGTTACTACAGTACCCACTACATTAAAAGCAAGAGCAAGTCGGATGGATTAAGTGAACTCTGTGTCCAAGCACCATAACCAGACCATAACAGCAGGCTGTCTGTGGCTGTGCACTCCTTTCAGCAGTTAAAGCCAAGAGGGAGACCACATAGGAAAACAAGCCAGTCAGCACTCGCTGCCGCCTTTTTCGTTCAAGAGGAGATGAAATCAAATCAAATGCAGTGTTCTAGCATCTTTCCTGCCGGTGAAAGGAGTTTAATTTGTGCACAGTATTGTGAGATCAGGCTGAAGCAGCAACTGTGACCTTTTACCAGTAGGCAAGGTTCTGACCCAGACCATTCCTTCCTGCTGTTCCTTGAAAGACACAAATTCGACAGAAACAGAGACTTCCATTAGGTTCATTCCTCCAGCTAGCTAACAGCCATAAGAGAATATTGTAATCCATTGTAAGAATGGTCCTGACATTGTTGTGTTTACCAACCAGCTCTTAGAGGGATTTGTCTCAACAACAACACTGTTGTAAGATACAACTGCTTCCTTGTTAGGAACAGCACCCACTATTAGCCCTATCACTCCCTCCAAGTAATTTATTTAAATATTTCTATTCTACTTTTCTCTGCATTGGGGAATCCAGGCCATAGGTGAACAGTCAAGGAAACGGACCTCTTCAGTTCATGACAAAAGGCCTGTGCCTGTGGCCACATCCAAGCTTAAACGAACAGTCAAGGAAACGGACCTCTTCAGTTTTGCCTCTGGCCATATCCAAGCTTAAATACCTGTAACCGGACAGGGAAATGCAGTTCAGCCCAGATGTCATACAGTTGGCAAAGGTGTTTTCAGAATTCCCCTCCCCTACAAGGAAGGCTGGAATACCAACAGTGTGCATGCAGAAGGGACAAACCACAGCTATACAGCAGCCAGGGGGGAAATCATTAGCAGGAAAGGGGAAGCACACACTGGAAACACTTAACTGAAACTCAAATATTACTCACTTATTTTATTTAAAAAGTTGTTCACACTAGGTGAGGGAGGGAAGAAAGAGAGAAAGGCTCAGACAGCCACCTCAGGTCTCTACTTGGACCCTTGCTCGACACGTAGCCATGAAGCCCCCAGTCTTCTGACCTGCTGGGCCAGCAGAACGCATGTGCTGTCAGTCCTAGGGTGGACAATTACAGCAAGACAGAGGCCAAAGGCTCGGTCCTTCAGGGAAACAGTCTGGAGGTTGAACTTTCGTCACTTCAGGACAATTACCAGGCGGGAGCAGTGTTGGCCAAACGCCTCATACGCCTGCAAGGGAGATGACAGACAGGCATGAGTGGCAGGTTACAGACCATAGAACTGGGCAGGGAGATGGAAAGAGAAGGAAGGGAGACTGTAGGAAAACAGGATACAAAGGAACGTGAATACAAAAGGTACTCCCAAAGTAAAAACGTCCCAGTGTCAAAACACCCAGTGACATTTGCAAGCAGTTTGGAAAGGAAGCCCTCCCTCAAAAAACCCCAAAAATGCAATTTCTGGCCATATGAAGTTGCCATAGCTTAATAGTTAAGGCACCAGCTGTAACTTCTGCACTATATATTTTAAGTCTTTGGGCACCCAGGTCTTCCCTGCATCAGTCCTCTGCAAGCTGGGGAAAAGAATGGTATGCCAACTGTTCTGATATTTTAAAATTCTGATAGCCAACCTCTTGCAAAGATTGTTTTATGCTGCATAAGGAGATTCTGTTCACACTTCACCAAAAGTAAATAATCAGGGGGGAAAACCCTCCTGAAACATGGTCAGACCAAACTGCCCCTGTTGTGTGTACCTCCTAAAGATTTATTTTAAAAACAGCAAAAGTGTGACACAGGCTGATCATATGTTAACTTTGTCATAAATGTAGGACTTACTATTGTTTATCAAATTTTGTATTTGCTTCATGACAGTTGACAGTAAGGTTTTGAAGCATGCCATTTGATTTCAAGGCACACTGCGTACTTCTGCATAATAGAGTATCTGGCAGAGTACTGGTGCTCTTTTGATATGAAATTGGATGAACAAAAGGAATGCTAGCCAGGATGATGTCTGAATCCTGACAGCTCCATTTCAAAATGAGCTCCTGCCAAACTAAATGCTGGCCCATTAGGGCTAGATATCTGCAAAAAGCAAACGACACTGAACATGTGATGATGCTCCTACCAAAGTTCATATCACATAGCACAAGATAAATACCCCACACCCCCAGCCATGAGCAATTTTGAAATCCTGCTAACAAATGGAGCACTAGAGAGAGAAAAAGATTTCAGATGTGTTTCACCAACTAGTCACAATGAAATCCACATGAACAGGCAGTAGCACCTTGTGTTTCTGTCCTGGTCACGGATTTTCTTCTCCATCTCTGCATCTGTCAGGGTTTCAAGTAGTGGGCACCATTGGTCAGCATCTCCAGTGTTACGAATGGCAATCTCCACCGTTGGCAGAGGGTTCTCACTAAAAAGACCAGGACACAGGACCAAAAAAGATGAGAAATGCAGCTGCAGTCCAAGCACAGGTTTCACAGGTTTTTTTTTTTTTAATTTCAACACTAACCTACCATGAAAAAAGATGAGAAATGCAGCTGCAGTCCAGAACACAGGTTTCACAGGTTGGTTTTAAAAAAAAATTTCAACACTAACCCACCGTCGAGAGAACTTTCAGCAAGGTCTGAACTCTGATGCATACGCCTAGTAAACAGTCATGCTTCATTTCCTGGAAAACATATTCTGGTTCCCAGCTATGAAGTTGAGCTTCTATAGCACAACAGCTAGAATCATACAAGGCCTACACTCCAAACAAGCTGTGTAGGATCTCCTTGTGGGACCTTGTTGAGGAACAAGCTGTGCCCCTTACCTGAATGCGTACGTCTTCTGATGCCAGCTCAGCTGCCCCCGGATGCTGTAAGCAATAGTGGTGACGAACTCGCCACCCAGTCCAAGCTCTGAGCACAGCTTCAGTGCAAACTTCTCTGGTGAATTCTCTTTCTCTGACATATCCCACTCAAATTGGTCCACCAGGGAAATGTT